TCCTCTGTTTATTAGTCACATCTCCAGGCCCCTCTTATATTTTTGCCTTCTATTTTGATTTTTTATTCACAGAAAAAATAAAAGTTTTACTGTTATGCAGACTACTGCATTATTGTAAAAGTAGTATAAATAATATCAGTGCACTAGTGAAAGAATATTAGACTCCCCAGTTGACATATATTGGATGTGGGGTGTGATTTGTTTACTCTTAAACATTGGTAAAAATCGAACATTTCCACTACTTTGAGCTCAATTTCAAGGTCATTTTCGTAGTGAAACTAATCAAAATCATCTCTATTTCTGTAATATGTTTTGTATTTTATCACGTGAAACCATGAAAACGAGAATACAATGATAAATACTACAGGTCTCCCTCAACATTCGTGAGGGTTAGGGGATCAAGAGCCTCGCGAATGTTGAAAAATTGCGAATGTTTGGTGCCCCAAAATATTGTAGGGAAATATAATACAATACTGCTTCCTTAACTTGTTGAACCATGAACAATCATAAAATACATGAAAACGTCGTAAATTGTACTAAATACCTACAAGTTATTGTTTAATAACATGTATGTTATTAAATACCACTGCTTCCACCACTGCCCCCACCAATGCCTCCACCACTTCCTCAAACCACTGCGAGTCCCTACTACCCTCCCTCCTGACCCCGCAACTGGCAGCCATCCCTCCCACCACTCAGTGTGGTGAGTGTTTTGTTTGTTCATTATTTGCTATTAAACTACAGTATAAATAATGTAAACATATTCATTCATGACTGCATATTGGAATGGCTATTTGTACAGGTATTGGATGGTGACATCATGTGTTTACTCTTGAACACAGCAAAGAATGAAACATTTCTGCTACTGCTAATAATAACAATAGTAATAGTAATAATAATAATAATAATAAATGCGATAGAATTGAAGAAGGAAATTGTACAGAAATACGAGGGAGTGGTTGACACATCATCAGTGTGGCTTTGTTTATGCTGGAGTGAGCATTAGTCTCCGTGCTCTTCCAAACATTTCACTGTGTTTGGTGCTTGTAGATTGAGTGCGACTGGAGTGGTAGAGGCAGTGGGTGAGACAGTGGTTGAGGCAGCGGTTGAGGCAGTGGTTGAGGCAGGGGTTGAGGCAGCGGTTGAGGCAATGGTGGAGGCAGCAGTTGAGGCAGTGGTATTTAATAACATGTTATAAATAATAATAATACATATTATTAACATTTATTATTATTATTATTACATGTATGTTATTAAATACCACTGCCTCACCCACTGCCTCAACTGCTGCCTTGCCCACTGCCTCAACCATTGCCTCAACTGCTGTCTCACCCACTGCCTCACCCACTGCCTCAACTGCTGCCTCGCCCACTGCCTCACCCACTGCCTCACCCACTGCCTCACCCACTGCCTCACCCACTTCCTCACCCACTGCCTCAACCACTTCCTCAACCACTGCCTCACCCACTGCCTCACCCACTGCCTCAACCGCTGCCTTGCCCACTGCCTCACCCGCTGTCTCACCCGCTGTCTCACCCACTGCCTCACCCACTGCCTCAACTGCTGCCTCGCCCACTGCCTCACCCACTGCCTCAACCGCTTCCTCAACCACTGCCTCTACCACTCCAGTCGCACTCAATCTACAAGCACCAAACAATGAATTATTGTGAAATGTTTGGAAGAGCACGGAGACTAATGCTCACTCCAGCATAAACAAAGCCACACTGACGATGTGTCAACACTCCCTCGCATTTTTGTACAATTTCCTTCTTCAATTCTGTCGCATTTATTATTATTATTGTTCTTATTATTATTATTATTATTATTATTATTATTATTATTATTATTATTATTATTATTATTATTATTATTATTATTATTATTATTACTACTACTACTCTTGTTATTATTAGCAGTAGCAGAAATGTTTGATTCTTTGCTGTGTTCAAGAGTAAGCACATGATGTCACCGTCCAATACCTGTCCAAATAGCCATTCCAATATGCAGTCATGAATGGGTTTACATTATTTATACTGTAGTTTAATAGCAAATAATGAACAAACAAAACACTCGCCACACTGGTGGGAGGGCTGGCTGCCAGTTGCAGGGGTCGGAGGGAGGGTAGTAGGGACTCGCAGGTGGCGGGAAACTTAACCCTTTGACTGTCGCGGCCATATATATACGTCTTACGAGGTACCGTGTTTGACGTATATATACTCATAAATTCTAGCGGCTTCAAATCAAGCAGGAGAAAGCTGGTAGGCCCACATGTGAGAGAATGGGTCTGTGTGGTCAGTGTGCACCATATAAAAAAAAATCCTGGAGCATGCAGTGCATAATGAGAAAAAAAAAACTCTGACCGTTTTTTTTTAATTAAAATGCCGACTTTGTGGTCTATTTTCGTATAGTATTTATGGTTGTATTCTCGTTTTCTTGGTCTCATTTAATAGAATGGAAAACATATTATAAAAATAGAGGTGATTTTGATTGATTTTACTATAAAAAGAACCTAGAAATGGAGCTCAAAGTAGGGGAAATGTTTGATTTTTGCCGATGTTCAAAAGTAAACAAATAATGCCATTGTCCAATAAATGTCCAACTAGCCATTCTAATATGCAGTCATGAATGGGTTGATGTTATTTATACAATTATTATAGTATTGCAGTAGTCTGCATAATAGTAAGTCTTCTATTTTTTGTTTGAATAAAAATTCAAAATAGAAAGCAAGAGTAAAATCAGAGGGGCCTGGAGACATGACTGATGAGCAAAGAAAATGTTATTTTAGAGCCAGGAATGTCTGCATTGTTCATTCTGGACCTTATTTTGAAATTGTCATATTTTTTAGTTTTTGTGAAATTGGCCAAATTGCAAATTTCTGACCACATTTTTAGGTAGTTGAAATCGGTAAATGGGCAGTTTCTTGTACTCAATCGATAGAAAAAATGGAGTTCTAAAGAAATAGCTATGAGTTTGGGTGACTGGAACAATGGAATTAGCCGAAAATAGGGCTCAAAGTGGGCGAAATCGCCGATTTGTAAACAGCACTGAGGTCGCTAACTTTGTGAGAGCATAATTCCATCAGTTTTCCATCAAATTTCGTTTTTTTGGTGTCATTACAACCGGGAAAAGATTCTCTATCATTTCATAAGAAAAAATAATTTTTTTTTTTTTTTTAAATTTTGCGACACCAGGAGACACCTCAGGATTGGGGGTTGCGACAGTCAAAGGGTTAAATATGATTTGGGGGCTGGGAATTTGGAGGCTGGGAATTTGGCAGTTGGGAATTCGCAAATGTGTGAAGCCCGCGAATGTTGAGGGAGACCTGTATACGAAAATACACCTCAAAGTCGGCATTTTAATAAAAAAAAACGGTCGTTTTTTTTCTCATTATGCATTGCGTGCTGCAGGATTTTTTTATGTGGTGCACACTGACCACACAGACCCATTCTCTCACATGTACGCCTACCAGCTTTCTCCTGCTTGATTTGAAGCCGCTAGAATTTACGCGTATTAATACCTCTGAAACAGTGGCGCATGAGACGTGTATATACGCCCAAAACAGTCAAAGGGTTAATGTTATTGAATTCTTTGTCAGTAATTGGTGCTTATTTATATGATAAAATTATTCACTGATACCTCGTTGTGGATCCTGTATGGTTCTTAGGAAGGTTGAGTAATAATCAGTCTTATTATTGCTGTTTGTCGATTTCTTCTAGGCTGTTGATCTTGGTAGAATTACACAGGTAGTATGTTACAGGTAAAGTTCCTTAAATTACCTTTTGGCAGCTGTTGATTTTTCCTAGTTCATTGTCTTGTAGTTTGTGAAGTTAATTTTTTATCGTCTTCCAGTAGGGTTTGATGATTCGTTTGTAAACACTGTATTGCTTAGTGTTTGCTCGTGATGATATTGATCAGTGTTTTTCTTATTTTCTTACTTTGTCTTCTACTTCAAAACCTTTGCAATAAATACTGGAGCTGTGAGACTGCATTTTGTGGGAGGCCAGCATGTAATAATGGAGAATTTCTTGACAATCCTCCAGGTCAGCAGTGGTTACCTTTGTTGTTTTCTGAGTGATAGAGAGCAGTGAGGTGGTTTCCTTCAGTCTGGGAAAGCAAGAGCTGGGAAGAGGGAAGTTATATTCAGCTGTAATTCCTGCATTCTGATGCTATACCTGAGCTTTCTTCCCTGATATTTACCTCTTCCCATGGATAAGATGAGCAATGCTTTGGGGGTAAGCTGTGGTTTGCCTTGAAAAGCAATAAAGTTCAGTAGAGTAGCAGCTTGTTTGGCAGTGGGCTTGTAATAGTGCAGTAGCAAGGTGGAAACATGCATGCTGTATTTTGTGGTTTAAAGTTCTGTTTGGTTAACTGGTAAAGTATTTGCCATTGCTTGGACATTGGACATTGCATGAAAAGCTTTTGCAGTAATTATTAGCAGTTAAGATAAAATTGTTATATTATTATAGTTCTTTACTTTTAAATACAGTATTATTTGAGGTATTTGATATGGTTAGTGGCATGTCCAGAAAATATTTTAAGTAGGAGGTCTGATACCCTAAAACTAAGTTGACTTTTTAAGTGATGACCTGTCTTTTTTTTCTTGCGGGGAGGAACAGTTAATGTTTAGATGCTCTTTCCTTGACTGCTGGAACAGATATTCCCTTCAGCCTTTGTATAACTGTGATTTACCTATGGTTTAATTGTGGTGGATTTTGAGCTTTCAACTCATGTAGTTTAGGTTAGAAAATTACAGTGTCCTGTTATTGAATGGGTAAATCTCCAAAAAATTGCTGGTTATTTAATTATAACATATCTTTTGGTTAAACTTTCCAGGAGGATTACAGCCAGTTCAGAGAAATATTGTATATATAATATTTCAGGTACCCTTGTCATTGAATCATTCCTCTGTATAAAACTTTTACTCTGATAATAACCTATGTAATTTGTATGTTCCTACACAGGTAAACTGTACAATGGCTTTTTATGTTTTGTTTTTACAGGTCGATGAGGCTTCAGGTCAAGAAGTTCTTACATGCTTCTTATTACCTCAGCAAGAATACCAACATGAAAGTCTGGGTAAGCTCTTAACAGGCAACATATAATACTTATTGTATTCTCTCTAGTGATTCTTATATTATGACAGAAAGATTATCCTTTCAGACTATTATGATATCCTTCAAAAATAGTCATTAATCTATGGTAGATTGTTTCATTATATAGTTACTAGAAAGGTGAGTGTATTCCTTTTTATCTGAAGCACACTTTAAATTTTTTTTAATCTGTAGGTACTAGTAAATTTAATTTGGATGTTAAGTTGCTCATAACTGTGGAACTTAATACTTCCTGTTTGTGTTACTGTACCAGGTTGTGATAGTATTTATTAATCAAACATGAAATGTTGTACAAAAGTGTTTTAGATGAAAAGATAAATTTTTAAATTTAAGTCCTAGTTGCATGCTTTTATTTCTTAATAAAATGAAGAAACAATAGAATGAATATACAGGGCGTTAAAAAAAAATGATTAATGTGTAATCATTCAAAACCTTTATGATATTAACAATGCAAATGAATTTCAAATGAAATATGGTTGAAAGGTACAAATTATTTTTTGATCATCTTCACTATACTTGATAACCTTTTTTGGATCTTCACTAAACCTAAATGAGAGCCCCATTAGAGGCTTATTGAAGGCTCTAATGGTGTTACCCAACACGTTTGGCAACCCCAGAGTGATTACATTCTCCATTAATTTTTTTATATATAAAATTTCATCAGTTTTGTAGAATAAACTATTTTTGATGGACTTCATGCACTGTTGAATTGGGCATATTTAATTGTCTAATAGCACAGCAAGTAAAGTAATTCAGGCTGCACCAAAATGCTTTTATGTTGAACAGTGCCATAGTATATACTAGCATACTCTTTGAACTGTTTTGCTCCACTTGTAAATGGATTAATTATCAAGTGAATATCTTAGGATATCCTAAACCCTTTGTATTTGTTATGAAAAAGCATCTGAGTAAATCACAAAATGCATTAGATATTTTCTAAATGTATTAGGTTTTTTTCTCTCTCAAAAAAAAAAAATTGAGGAATGTTTGGAACACAAAAGTTCTTCATTTCCAGGACACCCTGTATATTCAGTATATAATAAAAATAATAATAAAAATAACACAGCTGTAGTGATAACATAGAATAGGGCATGTATATAGGAGAGGAAAAAAATATTTCCCTGTAAAAATGGGCCTTAGACAGAAACGTATGCCATGGGACTGCTGGAGTATTGGAGTGAGATATGAGCTTTAAAAATGATGAATCTATATATAGTGGTTAATATCACAGATGCTTTCTGCTAATGACTGGGTGCTTTTGGGAAATTTGGAAGGAAGTGGTAAATAAAGGTTGGTGGATTTTTTTGGGACAGTGTGCCATAAAGGAAAAGAGCAAAGTCATCTAGGCAGTGTAGGATTGGGTGTCATATTGGAAGGAGGGTGTATGCAGTAGGTAAATGTGTTTTAAACACTTTGAAGTAGGTGTGTTGCTAGATGAGTGTATGAAAGATTGGGCAGTCATAGAATATATGGGAGAAAAATAGGTAGCTGGAGGGATGAGTCATTGGAATGTACTAGAATATATTGTATGTATGTGAGGCATAAACTGGAGACTTCGAGGATATTTTGAGATGAATGTGTGATATGAATGTTTTGCATAAAGTTGCGTAATTGCATAGTCCTTTCTTGTGCTAATTTTTTCTTACATTTTTTTTTATTTCATCATTCCATCAATCATTTCCCCTTTAACCCTTTCACTGTCCAGACCCCCAAAATTAACCCTTTCAGTGGCCGTCAAGTAGAATTAAGTCATTGAGGCCAGGGTCTGTCACAAAGTTTTACATACCTTACCTTTATGCCTTTGATGAGTTTTGAGAGTCTTACTACTTCCGGAGCCCGACCATGGGCTAGGCTCATCTGGTGCTAGCCTGGTCAACCAGGCTGTTGCTGCTGGAGGCCTGCTGCCTGACATATCCATCACAGCCTGGTTGATCAGGCACTTGGTGAAGATACTTGTCCAGTTTCCTCTTGAAGACTTCTACACTTGTTCCAGCAGTGTTTCTGAAATCTTCTGGTAAGATGCTTCATAATCTGGGGACACAAATGTTGATACAGTTTTCCTTTATTGTGTCCACCATACCCCTGCTCTTCACTGAGTTTATTTTGCACTTCCTCCCATATCTTTCACTCCAGTATGTTATGACAGTGTGCAGATTTGGGACTAGGCCCTTAAGTACTTTCCGGGTATATTTTTTTTTTTTTCAGCAAACTGGCCGTATCCCATCAAGGCAGGGTGGCGCAAAAAGAAAAACGAAAGTTTCTCTTTTTAAATTTAGTAATTTATACAGGAGAAGGGGTTACTAGGCCCTTGCTCCCAGCATTTTAGTCGCCGCTTACAACACGCATGGCTTACGGAGGAAGAATTCTGCTCCACTTCCCCATGGAGATAAGAGGAAATAAACAAGAAGAAGAACTAGAAAGAAAATAGAAGAAAACCCAGAGGAGTGTGTATATATATATGCTTGCACATGTATGTGTAGTGTGACCTAAGTGTAAGCAGAAGTAGCAAGACGTACCTGAAATCTTGCATGTTTAAGAGACAGAAAAAAGACACCAGCAATCCTACCATCATGTAAAACAATTACAGGATTCCGTTTTACACTCACTTGGCAGGATGGTAGTACCTCCCTGGGCGGTTGCTGTCTACCAACCTTTTCCAGGTATATATTATCATGTATTTCTCTGAGTGAGCTCAGCTCACCCAGATAAGCTGTGAGTGGTAAATTTTGGCCTAGATATGAGAGAATGGGTCAGTGCAGTGACTGTGCACAGCATAAAAAAAAAAAAACTCGTGCTTCACATGTTGCATGATGAGAAAAGCAAAACTCTGACTGTGTGTTTGGTTTAACGCTTTGAGGGTTTCGGACGTACTAGTACGGCTTACAACCCAGGGTTTTTGACGTACTAGTACGCCTAAATTCTAGCGCCCTCAAATCTAGTGGGAGAAAGCTGGTAGGCCTTCATATGAAAGAATGGGTCTATGTGGTCAGTGTGCACAGTCTAAAAAAAATCCTGCAGCATACAGTGCATAATGAGAAAAAAAAAACTTTGACCGTTTTTTTTGGAATAAAACAGCGACTTTGCACTCTATTTTTGTATGGTATTTATTGTTGTATTCTAGTTTTCTTGGTCTCATTTTATAGAATGGAAGACATATTATAGAAATTGAGATGATTTTGACTGGTTTTACAATGAAAAGTACCTTGAAATTGAGCTCAAAGTAGCAGAAATGTTCGATTTTTACCAAATTTCAAAAGTAAACAAATCGTGCCAAGCATCCAATACGCATCAACTGGTGAGTCTAATATTCTTTCACAAGTGCGCCAATAATATTTATATCATTTTTTACACTAATGCAGTAGTCTGCATAACAGTAAATCTTATATTTTTTGTGAGAATGAAAATTCAAAGTGGAAAGCAAAAGAATATAAGAGGGGCCTTGAGACGTGACTAATGACCAGAGGAAATGTCATTTTAGTGCCAGGAATGTCTTTCTTGTTTATTCTGGACCCTATTCGGAAATTGGCATCTTTTGAAATTTGTATGAAATTGGCAAAATTGCTAAATTCTGACCACTGTACTGGATAGTTGAATTTCATAAATGGGTGGTTTCTTGCACCCATTCGATAGAAAAAATGGAGTTCTAACGAAATATTCATGTTTTTTGTCGACTAGTACAGTGGAATTGGCCGAAAATAGGGCTCAAAGTGGGCAAAATCGCTGATGCGTAAACATCGCCGAGACTGCTAACTTTGCGAGAGCATAATTCCGTAAGTTTTCCATCAAATTTCAAACTTTTGGTGTCCTTATGATCGGGAAAAGATTCTCTATCTTTTCATAAGAGAAAATTATTATTTTTTTTTTTTAATTTGGCCGACCCTGAGAACGAGTTTCGGAGAGGGCCTGTCGACCCTCAAAGGGTTAAAATACAGCCTCTCCTCACTTAGCGACGTACTTGTTTACCAATGACTTGGACTTACGACAGGCTCTCTGACCAGTATGAAGACCTAAATAATGTATACCAGAGCTGATTTCTACTACAGTGGACCCCTGGTTCGCGATGCTATCGGTATCCGATAAATCTGGTAACTGATGCATTATATCGCAGAAAATTTGCCTCGCTTCCCGATACAAAACCCGGTATGCGATGTGGTTCGTACGAGACGTGTCCATGTGTGGCCTGAACTGCCCCGTGTGTGCCAGTGTTTACAAGCCAGCCAGTGTGCGCGCATCTAAGGATACATTTGGTACATTCCATATTATCCATATTATCACTGTTTTTGGTGCCTGTTTTTGCAAAAAAAGTCACCATGGGCCCCAAGAAAGCTCCCAGCGCCAACCCTTCGAGACCAAGGGTGCTAATGACTGTTGAAATGAAGGAAGAGATAATTGCAAAGTACGAAAGTGGAGTGCGTGTGTCGGAGCTGGTCAGGTTGTATAGTAAACCCCAATCAACCATCTCTACTAAAGTGAGCAAGAAAACGGCAATCAAGGAAGCTGTTCTTGCAAAAGCAGCTGTGATTACGAAACAGCGACCGCAAGTGTTAGAAAATGTTGAGAGACTGTTATTGGTGTGGATAAATGAAAAACAGATAGCAGGAGATAGCATCTCTCAAGCAATCATTTGTGAAAAGGCTAGGCAGTTGCATGACGATTTGGTAAAAAAATTGCCTGCAACTAGTGGTGATGTGAGTGAATTTAAGGCCAGCAAAGGTTGGTTTGAAAGATTTAAGAATCATAGTGGTATACATAGTGTGATTAGGCATGGTGAGGCTGCCAGTTCAGACCACAAAGCGGCTGAAAAATATGTGCATGAATTCAAGGAGTACATAGAGGCTGAAGGATTGAAACCTGAACAAGTGTTTAATTGTGACGAAACAGGCCTGTTTTGGAAGAAATTACCAAGCAGGACCTACATTACTCAGGAGGAAAAGGCGCTCCCAGGACATAAGCCTATGAAAGAAG